CGGACAGCTATCACTTTCCTTCACTTCTCTACTACACTAGGATTCTGCAATTTGAGATACATTGGAATTTTTCCTTTTTTTTTTTAAAGCTTTCACTCAGGTCCTCAAATCTCTGTATCTGGTGTGTTGTCTAACAGACTGTCATTTGGCTTTTCTTTGGGGAAGCAACTTTTGAGAATGCCACAGACTCTAGCTTTTCGTGCTATATTTAGAAGATAATTTGCCGCACCTTCTTGGATCGATTTTGCCATCTCAGTTACTTTGAGGGAGATAATTGACATTCTTTGTGCTATGACAACTGTATGTGATGGATTAGTTCTAGTGGTTGACACTGGTTAGCTTCATATCAGTCACAGAATTTCATGAGCAACCAAATTCAAGTTCTATGCAAGACACAAGAGATTTCCAGGAATACAGCCAGGTTGAACTTTAGTAAAAGAGAGAACACTTTCTCTTTTTAAAGATATCTTCAATTTTCCAAAGTCATGAAAAAGATAAAAACTCAGAAGACTATTAGTAAAACAATATGTCATGGTCAGCATATATTATAATTGAAAAATTTCAGAGTATAACTATAGCTAAATATTGTAGTACTTTTATATCAAAGCATTAGAACCTTAAAAGATACAGCTAAAAATTACCTTTCAGAAATTAATGGAGTACAATTTAACTTATGAAAAATTAAAAATTATTTTGAAAGGATGCATAAGAAACATTTAGTTGTTTAAAGGAGTGCATGATCAGGATATAGTCTGGTGATAATTTCTTCTTGTAACGTTGAAGATGGATGAAATACTGATAGCAATAGTACTGGCTGTTAAAACACTGAATGGCAGAAGGCATATCTGTAGAGTTAATACCTTTTGAGGAACCTTAGGCTCTTAATGAGTTGTATTTTCTTTCGTGATGATTTATCTAGTTGCTGATTTTCTTATGTTTTATACTCTCAAAGCTTATTTTCCATTAGTATTCCAAGTTTAGATATAATTTAAAGACGTAGTCTCTCTATCATTCAAAATAAATGTTGTTCATTCTCTTTCACTTAAGTGGTTTGGTATCTTTCACCTCCTCTATACTGACCTGGTATTGCTATATTGAACCTCACACTGTTCTTTGGCTAATAAGTGAGGGGGCTTAGTAATAGAATGTGCACATTTGTGACTGGAGAGGAGTGAATTGAGCCCAAAGTAATGTCAACACAAGGACAAAATATCCAATTGCAAAGAACAATTTACAGGTCCAAAGTGTTCAAACAATGTAGAGAACAGTTTACTAATATACAGACCCAGTATTTAAAATGGATCAGTGCTGCTTAACTCATTGGTCAGATTCTTACTGTCTGTGTTTTGTTTCACTTTCAAGTTAGCCAGATGATTCATTTTCACAAAACTGCAGAACCATCTCTTTATACTATACTTCTGTAAACCTGTTCAAACTCAGTCTTCATGAGTCTTGATTCTTCTGAGTGGATCTTCAGACACACACCATATTTCTCCTTATTGACTGTTGTCTGTCTAACTGAACCAACCACATCACCATAAAAGAGTTTCCTTACTTTCAAATATTTTCTTACAGTAGTTTTCAACCTTACTCCCTTGTTTCTTTTTAAGGAAATAAACATACTTTCTTTTCTCCTTCCCTTCTCTCTCTCTCTCCCTTGCTTATTCTCTCCTCCTTCCCTATCCCTTTCTTTCCCTCCCTCCTTCCTTCTTCCCTCCCTCCTTCCTTCCTTGCTTTCCTGTCTCTTTCCTCCCCCACTGTCTCTTTCTCACCCTCCTTCCCTCCTTTCTTTCCATTAGCTAGCTCTTCTTTATTCAGTTCATTCATCCTAGGTCAGGGCATTTTTGAACCAAGATGTTTTCCCCAAAATTAAATTCTCATTTGCAACATTCTCAAAACTATATACATGGAGTATCTTTCATGTGTTCCAGTAAACTACAGATACCAACATAATTTATGCAAAATTACAGGCTGTGTAATTTAGCCCATGGTGGCTAAATGATGCTTAACACTGACAGGATTCATTTGCTGAAAATTCCTTCCTTGGTAAATTATTTATTTACTTAATTTTATAAAATAGTCATTATGGTGAAATTCCCCATTTTTAGAAGCAGGTCTATTTTAGTCATCTCAGTTTTATCATTAGTAGAAGAGCTATTGCTATAGGGGTCTATGTAAGTATCAGTTGTGTCAAGTTGTTTTATAATAGATAGCAATTAACTAGGGAAGACTTTAGTAAGAGGGTACATAATTCAGACATAGTGTGAATATGTTTTGCAGATCTAATGTACAACATGGTGACTATAGTTAATAACATGGTATTGTACACTTAAAATTTGTTAAGAGAGTGTATCTTAAGGTTCTTACCCCATGCACATGCATGCACACACACACAACTATAGCTATGTGAGGTGACGGACGTGCTAATTAGCTTGGTTGTAGTGATCATTTCACAATGTAAAGTATATCAAATCATCATGTTTGTACATTTTGAGTGTACACAATTTTTATTTGTGAATTATACCTCAGTAAAGCTGGGGAGAAATTACTAAACAGTAAAAAGGCAGATAGTGTGGATGTGGAGGAGTGTGCTCAAAGAAGTGACTAGGTAAAAAATACCCTAGAATAGAGAGAGGATAAGTCTGAATTAAGAGACCATTGTTGAGGGTGGGTATTACTTGTTAAACAGTAAGAAGTGGAGAAAGCATTCAAGTAATTTGACCTGGGGTATCTAGAGAGAAAGAATAGTGTAAAGAGTACACACACACACACACACCTTACCCTTGTGTACATACACACTGTATGTGTGTGTATATGTCTGTGTGTACATCAGGAAAGCACAGAGGAGAAACAGTGAGTTGTCACTGGCTGAGAAGAGTTTCAACCTCAGTCTGAACTAACCAGTCAGCATAGACTGGATTTCCTTAAGAAACAGAGATTCATATAAAGAGAATTAGCTCCAGTGACATACCTGTGGTCACTCAGATGAGAGTTGAGAGTTCTCTTGTTATTGCAAAATTGGCCTCTGTGCCCCGAAGAGCAAATTAAAACTTGGAGGCAGAGTTTGGGGAGCAAAGAAAAGAGCAGCTTTACTGCTTTGCCCGGCACAGGGAGGCACGGCAGGCTAATGACTTAAAGACTGTGAGCCCATCTTGGGGTTGGGGTCTTGAGGTTTTATAGAAAATCTGGATGGAACAGAAAAGGTGATACCAATCAGGGCTTTTACAGGGCACTACATTTCTCTTAACCTCAGTGAACCTTCAGGAGGAACTCCTGAGGGTCTGTCCATTCTCCTGAGATTATCAGCCGTTATCTCCTTCCTGGAGCGTAGCCTCTGGGTTAAAGTGATTCTCAGTAAAGAATGAATCAGCAATTTCCCATCGGGGAAGTCAGTTTGTTAGTTTGCTTTCTACTCATTTACTCCCTCTAACTTGTCTGCCCCTAGATTCCTCACCTGGAAAAGTAGGTAAATTTCTACATCCTAAATACAAGCTAACTGTGAGGTGAAACCACCAGTTTACTCTAAAGATGAGGTAATTTATACTTCTTTTTCTGTCCTGCCTGCCTCAAGATTTCTTACTTGGAAAGTAAAGCAGATTTTTGTATGCTAAATACAAACTGAATTTGTGTTGAAATCTACAAATTCAAAGGAGAGGAAAAAGTGTTGGGGTTCTGAGGCTTCAGTGATGATGGACAGACATTTCTTTCATTACTGGGGTGATGATGTGAGGGAAACTCACTATCAGTTATGGTGGGCCTGGATGGAGGGCTTACGTTGAACATGGTTGTGATGGTTCATTAGCGAAGTAGAGCTGGCAGATAACTTAAAAATATTTATGCACTGTTTGGCTGAATAGTACCTAGATTTTCTGATTTGTTAAATAACCTCAGTTTCAGTTTTGGACTACTCTAGTTTATTTCTTAATGTTACTGAAGGTCAGTTTACAAATGTCGAGTGAAATAAATGCGCAGCCTAAAAGTTGACAGTTATGTTTTATTTGGCAGGAGGACAGCCTCTCAGATCGCTCTGAAGGACTGCTCAGAAGAGGTAGGGGAGGAGCTGGGATATATAGAAGCTTCACAACAAAGGCCAGGTAGTTGGAACAATAAAAGTTTACTTGTTATCTGAAGAAAACCAGGCATCTTAAGCTAAAGAATTTAGTGCCTTTCTTTGTATGGGAGGAAGCAAAC